CTTCTTTGGAGTTGAATTTCTTGCCTAAAATTGTTGAAGTATTTGATAAAATGTCAATAATTTGAACTACTTCCCCTTCAGTTGTTAATACAAAGCAATCTGGCTTCTTAATTGTAAATGTATTATATTTACTATTACTGAATTTAATATTGTCATTAATAGTAATCTCTCCATAACGTTTAATTATTTGTTCCAATGGTTTTTCATGTTTTCTGAGCATACGTTTTAACATTTTCATGTAGTTCTCGAATGGAAAACAACTATAATTATCAAGAGGTCCATATGTAATATAGTCATCAACTAAATGCAATAAGCTATGAACGTTGTGGGATAGATAATGGCAACCATAGATTTGTTGAAATGTTTTTACAAAATAATTTAATAATTTAGCAGCATATTTTAAATATGTAGAATGATCCTTACTTAAAAGTATTCTCATTGATATGTTCAAAGACATAAAATGTTTATAACACTCATCTGACAAGACATTTTTAAAAACTATAGGACCCGTGTATATGAGTAACTGTCTAAATTCTGTAGCTTTAAATCGAGGATACTCTTCAATTCTTCTTGGTTTTCGTGCAAAATCGTTGGTAATACAGCTTCGCATTTTTTCTAGATTGAGGGACAATTGTACAACTTGATAAACGTACTCTCATAGGGCTATTATTCATCCAAAGATTTATTAATTTTTTCATGACACCCAAACAAACCAAGTGCATGTAATCCAAAGAAAATAGACTTGTAATATTTACATCAGGTATCAGCGCAATACATGAAATTATAGGAGAAACATGATGCTCTTCATTATTCTTTAAAATATAATCGTTGTGATTTCTTTTTGTATGACTAATATCATTATAAGGAAAACAAACTCTATTATTGATGTATTCGCCTTCATGTGTACATCTTGTACACGAGAAGAACCCTGAATGTCCCTTCACACGCAATAAAAAACTTTTTGCAGGAACATCACAGCACATGACTTCAAGTGTAACTTTTTTTAACTCGTTGTTAATTGTAATGCCATTTGTTGTTAGTTCTAATATTTCACTGATGAAATCAAAAAGGAAATCATTGCTATCGAGAGGTTTTTGAAAGCCATAATAAATTCCTACTGGAAATACATAGTCATGATATGGAATAATATAAGCCAAAATTGGCCATAATTGACCCGAACTACTTTTACTGATTGGTAGTCCATCCACTCCAACAGCAATCTTAATATGTTCACTTAAAGGTAAAATTGATGAGTATCTTATAATACCGTTTTTTAGTCCAAAACGATAATAATTACCAGGTTTTACATCTCTAATATTTAAAATTTTTGATGATCCAGTTTTCAAAAGGGAACGACAATCTTTTGGCAAAAATGTTAAGGGAGTTTCAAATTTCAAAATATTTAAAAGTTTGTTAACAGTAGATTGTGGCACACTACAATCAACAGCCCACTGACCAAGGGATTGTTTAATTTTTTCCTCTTTATTATTTACAAATAAGTTTTCAACCGGATTTTCAACTATATTAGTATTCTCATTGCATTATATGCCACTTCAGGTGATAAAATTTGTAATTTTGTAGGACTAAAATGTAATGGCACTTCAGTGGATATTGTATTTCTGACAAGATTTTCTGTTTCCAAAATATTTGAAGAATTAATATAATCAAAAGCTTCAAGTTCATTTTGTATTTTTCTTCTAGTTCTGTAGCTAGGAGCTTTCTTCATTTTAATAAACTATATAAAATTAAAAATCTTATTATATCCTTGTACTTGATAATTAATATTTTATAATATATTATAATGATAATAATATGTTCATATTATACATAGGTACCTAATTGTGGCATTAAAGCATACAAACTCCTCTTACCATTGCTACACTGCTGCATATGACTGGTTAGGTTATCATTATATTTTACACTTTGAAAAGACATAATACAAATAAAATAATTCATGAGTATTGATGACAGTTTAAAAAAATTAAAATTGTTAAATAATTAGCAATAATAATGTAATAATTATTATTATTATTGTGTTCATATTAATTCACTTGAAAAACAGTTTTAGATTCTCTTACTTGATATTTTATCAAGTACCTAAGTACCTATGTTTTAATTTAAAAAAAAGTTAAATTGTTTTAACGTTTACATGATATGAGAACTACTTATTTCAAAAACAATTCAATTTTAAACCAAAGCATCATTATTCATTAAATATTATGAACTTTTGAAATATAAAATATGTAATAAATAGACTATATAATATAACATAGTTTTAGTACAATATTATTATAATTCTATTATATTAAATTATGTTGATCGTTGATCTACCTCACTATAACTAGGGTTATTTAAAAATACAAATAAAAAAATGAAAAACAATTATTGTCAATTGTTCTTAATGAAAATTACAATTTAGGTAAACTTCCTAATAATTAATAAGTATGAAGTATAGTGATAAAGTAATACACCTACCTTTTTTTTTCGATGTCAAATAGTTGTAGTCAGATGGACGAGATATGATGAGATGTGAGTTTAAAACACTAAAATGTAGAAATGTATAATGAAAACACTGAAAACAGTCATAATTGACAGGCCAGACTTTTCGTTGTGCATTTGTGCGACAAATATACCCGACCAAAAAGTACAATAATAAACCATAGATAATATATATAACCGCCGATTGGGTTTGCGGGTCGAGCATAACACGATACCGCGAATTAAGTGTTTACTATTTATATTTATAAATAACTAGCTATTATTTCCATAAAATATATAAATATATTTATTATTATTATAACATTTATAATCGTCCATCGTCGTTATCGCGATTACCCGCGCCCCCGCCACAAACTAATAACTATTCGTGCGTGGTACTGCGTTGTATTGTAACATTTGACACTACCAAATTATAATATTATATAAAATAAATATATAAACAAAAAAGAAAATTACAATAAGTGTGTTGTGGTGTAGTTGTAAAATTAAATGTTATTATTAAAATATAATTAAAATATGTCGTTTTTGGTATTTATCAAATTAATAAAAACTTAATTTTTCATTTATTACTCTTATAAAAAAAAAACTATTTACAACAGCTGCAGGCTGATTCAAAAAAACGTTTAAATACGCTTTATTTGTGGCAATAATATTATTATTGTTGTAATTTTTTAATTTTCGACAAGTGATATAAAAAATCAAATGTAAAATATAGACTATAAATGGTATATGGTATTAATGTAGTATTGTAGTACATCTATATAAATACATTGTATCTTTTTGTGTCTCCTGAGTCCTAAAAATTTAGATACGTAGTTTTGTTTTGGCAACGATACCTATAAAAATTATATAATAATTGAGGATGTATGATAATTTTTATAATAGCTATTAGCTGCTATAGTAAAGGGCTGTGTGCTGAGTTTTGCTAGAAACAAAAAAGAAAGTACTATAATAATATAGTATTATAAATAATAATAATAATTAATATAACATAGTACATCAAAATATTAGTATAGATATACTATATTAAAGGACCATCCAACTCAAAAAATCAATAATTATTTTTTTACTCTAATAAATAGAATAGAGTCTAACTAAGATAATGATACAACTAAAATTCGTTTGTGACTATTCGTTCGCTAGTTACTGTGACCTATGACATTGCGCGTGACGTCACGGATTCGTCCGCCGAGGCGGCGGCCATATATAATACACGGCAATATTTATCCATTTTTGGTTTAACATAAAATAACTGCTTATGAACTTATTTTTTTTCGAATGAACTAATCAAATGTATTCAAGAGTACCTCATAATCTTTCCATTCGTATAATTATATCACATTTTAGTTTAATAGTGTAGACAAAAATAACACTTAAATAAATTATATTATGAATTTACCATACTGCTGCTGCAGTAAACGTGTGTAATATTGTTTTGACGATCGTGACATCGTGTACGGATTTCTGACGCCTAAACTGTCTATATTGTTTTAACTCGTAGCTAATATTAGAGATGGGTGAGGGCTTAAAAAATATATAATTTACATATAATAGAATATTATATCGTGTAACTAGAAAGGACCGCATTCACATTTCACACTGACACTGTACTTACTATTTATAACTTTAATACGACGATAAGACTATATTGTTATGAAAAATAAACATCGATAAAATCGTATATAATTATAAATAAAATCGTAGCAGTACTCATATGAGTAATTAGTGACAATTGACACTATAATATGACAGTGGTGTATTATAATATAATTGCTATTATTTCATTAATATTAAACCAAAATTCAATACAATTATACGAATAGAAAGATTATGAGGTACTCTTAAATACATTTGGTTAGGTTATTCGAAAAAATATAAGTTTATTAGCAGTTACTTTACGTTAAACCAAAAACGGATAAACATTGCTGTGTATTGTATATGGCCGCCGCCGCGACGAACGAATCCGTGACGTCACGCGCAATCGCTTAACTAGCGAACGGACAGTCACAAACGAATTTTAGTGGTATCATTTTTTTCGTCAAAGTTTGTACTTTAATTTAAGCCTGAGAAAATTTTTTGAGTTGGATGGTCCTTTAATTATTAGACAAACAAAATGTTGTTTTAAATTGTTCAAAATGTATTTAAACTTAAAGGCAAATACTTGCAATAATGATTATTATGTAATTGTATATATTATATTATATTATAATATATTGTATACAGGTAAATTCAATTTTTGAAATATATTATTGAGTTGTTATTATTGAGATGTTTAAATAACTTTTTTAAGTATAAAAAAAATGTATATATATATATATATATATATCTAAATAACTCTTTAAATATATAAATTAATAATAAAATTAGTTAACCCTCTACAGGCAAGGCCCGGTCACGGGTGACCGGACTGAAATAAAACACTAATAACTAGATTATATTATTAACTACTATACTACATTTCAAAAGAGAACATACCGGGCGGCGGACCAGTTTACGTTCGGCGGCGCGCATCCCCCACCAATTACCGCCGGTTATGACAAGCACGCTAGTAACGACTGCTTGTTGTCAACCGATATACACCCGGTGCCAAATATCACAGCTACCTGTTGACTATTAGTCTAACCGTGCTACTGTGAACACGTGCGTACGTTTCGTTTTTTTATTCTTTTGCATTCTTTTGCTATTGTTTTTTTGTATTTAATTATCAAACAATCGTTGATAATTATTATGGACCAACCTGGACATCCAAACGATCATCGATCACCAGTAAAGCGGAATCGAAGAGGAAAGGTAAATAATTAAAAAATTGTTTTAAGGATTACATTTTAAACATCATGTAATAATTAACAGAATAATAATAATAATAATGGTAATATTGGATAATAATAAATTATAATCATCATAATATTGTAATACAAATTAACATAGGTAGTTATCTATATTGCGTTTTTACTTAACAGTTTAAATTAGTTAATATATAATACAATAAACGTGTATCTAAGAAAAAAAATTAATTTATGACTTATGCGAGAATAAAATACGATAAAAGTATTTGTTATTTATAATACAATTATGCTGTTTAAAATATTTAAAAAAAATACTATTAAAATATGTTTTGGTTAAACTAATTCCAAGTAAATGTTTAGATTAAATTAATAATATACAGTGTCATATTTAAGTGGTAGTATTGGTACATATACAGTTATATATATTATACTATATTCCATAATCTTGGATTTTGTGACTGTACCACAAAATGTCTAGACTGTCTAGACCCGACATTCCTTTAGCTGAATACAATGTGTTAAAAGGCGGTCATGTAGGTACTATATCGCTTTTTGTGAGTCGTATATGTATCTTACCTAACATGGGTTTCATATGAAATTGTATACGAACAATGATTCTGAGCGACTACAGAACGATTGAAAATGTTATACAGTCCAATAAATGCCATTGTGAAAAAATCTGCAACGTTGCCATATCATTTGATTTTCGCAGCAATGAATGTATGTTAATTTTACAATGATGGGTGTGTTGTTTTTTTTTGTTTCTTTCATCATCTAGACAGTAAAAATGCTTCGATTGCCTAATTCAACATATTTTCTGGTAGGAGACTGAATCTATTTGGTTTTTTGAAATTAAAAGAAAATTTCAAAACATATAGAAAATTACAAAAATAAAATAAAACGGAATTTTACGCAAACCAGTTTTCGACGAATCGATTTTTATATGGTTGTAACTCCAATAATATTTATGTATTTATTTATTTGTGTTCTTATTTATACGTTTATATTTTATTATTTTATATTTTTTTCACACTTACTGTAACTAAGAATTTTAAATATAAATTTCGTAAATGCATATTTGTTGCATATTTTAATGATTTTTAATTAGAGATATTTTTATTAGTGGTTTGTTTAACTTTTAAACATTTTGATTACTATGTTTTGATTAACGTTTTAAGGTAACCGGACAATTTCTCCGGACATTTTCTCCCCGACTGTTTTTGGCATAGCATGACATTCCCCCCCCCCCCCCCCCCCCGAGAAATGTTCCAATGCGGACATTTTCCCCCCATTTTTTTTAAGTTTATTATTTAATAATTTAATAAGAAATTATTTTTTTTCATAAATAAAATAAAAATTGTATAATAAAACGTAAACAATTTGTATATAAGTAAAAATTTAGGTAAAAATTATAGAATTATAAAAAGTTAAAAAATATTTATGAAATATAGTCTAAAAATTTCGACATACAAATGATATATTTTGTAAAAAACATTTAATTTCTGATACTTTTTTTATATCTAAGTACATATTTTGTAATTGTCTTTCATATTTATTTTTTTTTGTTAAAAAAACCAACCTGTTTTAATTTTTAATAGTTTATTAATTTTAGATAATAGCAAATAATACAATGTGCTAGTACTATTACTTTTTTATTTAGACAATCTTTTAAATATAATATTACTATTATTTTATTGTTTCAAGTAGTTAAATTTATCAAAAATATACATCTACTATAATAGGTAATTATAGTATAATTGATTATGTTTATAAAAAAAAAATTATATTTTACTGGAAAAAAAATAATTTCTTATTAAATATTAAATAATAAACTTAAAAAAAGAAAGTGGGGGGAAATTGTCCGCCATTCGTTTTTTTAAACGTTATTTTTCTAAATTGTTTCCTAATAACATTTTCGATAATTTTGTTTTTTTTTTTTTTTTTATATATATATTTTTATTTCTTATACCTAACTTATAATAGTTACATGCACTTGAGTTATAACTAGTTATTCTTAATATTTAAAATTTAAATTTCAAATCAAAATAATCATTTATATTTTATATTTTATATGTAAAATTCAAAATTTCAAATTAAAACATTTTTAAAAGTGATAACACATATATAATATATATATTTTTTTTTCGTAATAAATAATAACAGTATAACTCAGAATTAACTCTATAATTTATTTACGTTTTCGTTTTTGATTTCGTTATTATATTTTTGTTGTTTTCGACGTTTTCATTTTATTAATTGTTTTCGTTTTTCATTTTTTTCGTTAAATAAGGTTTTTTAAAAACCTTTTTCCATCCCTGATTTTTACCGTATATGTTAATGATTTTTTTTTAATTTGATTATTACAATTATTGTAATTTATAGTTAAAGTTTTCAATATGATCGTTTTAAAGCTGAATTTTACTTATAAATTTTTTTATTTTTCAGTTTGTTTGTTCTCGCCAAAAGGAGATGATAATTAATGCCTACAAAAGTAAATTGGAAGCTAATCCCAAGCTTGCTATAAGAGAGGCTCGTGTAATTCTTTCCAAAGAATTAGGCATTGGTATAACCACAATATCCAACACGCTTTCCGAGTATGGCAACTTTAAAACAGTATCATCACCGAATAGGACGAAAATTTTCAAAAATATCAATGTTAAGGTTGATGATTTTGACAAAGAAGCGATACGAAGAAAAGTTCATCAGTTTTGGGTAAATCGTGAGTTGCCAAATTTAAATAAAATTTTAAGTGTTGTAAATGAAGATGACACTTTACCGGACTTCGCATTGACAACACTATGGCGTCTTTTGAAATCAATGGGTTTTCAATTTTCAAAAAGAGGACGCAACAGTGCATTAATTGAAAATGATGACATTCGGGCACGGCGTAGACGGTATATCAGGGATATAAGGAAATATCGAGAGGAAGGCCGACCGATTTATTACCTGGATGAAACGTGGGTGAATGCCGGAGACGTGGCAATACGAGTATGGTGTGATACAACCGTTAAATCGAGCCAAGCTGCATTTTCCCAGGGTCTTTCTACCGGAGCAGTTAACCCCACCGGAAAGGGAAAACGGCTCATAGTGTGTCACATCGGCTCTGAAGATGGATTTGTTTCGGATTCGTTATTATGCTTTGAGTCGAAGAAAAACACCAACGATTATCATGATGAAATGAATGGTGATAGTTTCCGTGATTGGTTGGAAGGTGTTTTAACGAGGCTCAAAGATAATGCGGTCATAGTTATGGACAACGCGCCATACCACTCGGTGAAGTTGGAGAAATGCCCGACTTCAAACTGGAGGAAGGCTGATATCATCCAATGGCTACAGGGTAAAGGAGAAGTTGTTGACCAAACTATGATAATACCGGAACTACTGGAAGTTGTTAGAAGGATAAAACCGATCTACAACAAGTACGTCATCGACGAGATGGTTTTACAACAGAACAAAACAGTGTTAAGGTTACCACCTTATCATTGCGAGCTCAATTCAATTGAGTTAGTTTGGTCTGTTGTAAAACGTCACGTAAAAGCCAACAACAAGACATTTAAATTACCTGATGTCAAAAACCTCTTGGTCGAAGGAATAGCCAAAGTGGACGCTGAAATGTGGAAGAACTTCGTAAAGCACACAATTGAAGAGGAAAATAAGTTTTGGACCTTAGATGACACGGTAGACGAATTGACGGCTGAACAAAACAGATTGGTTATGACCATAGGAAATAGTGACACTGAAGAAGATGACGATTTCGATCTTTTATCAGATTAAAAGATAAAATTGTGTAAATATTTGTAAAATTATTATTGTAAAAACCTATTTATTGTATTGTGTACATGATGTATAAAAATTTACTGTAAATTATTATTATACAACCATTAAGTTGATGCTCAATTTAAATAATCATATTATCAATAAAAAACTATTTAAAAAATATTAAATATTCCCGATTCCTTGGTAAACGTTAACGCCGTGTCACTTGGATATGATAAATAATTGTAAACCGGCTATTTTAATAATTAGTGTAAACTGTATACTCATCGGCACAGTTTGATCGGCAACTTTCGTGCTCGATCGATGGCTAGTTACGGCGAAAGTGGGAGAAATTAGCCTCGGGACGGCTGGCAGCCGTCAGTCGACATGCGCGAAACCGGTATGTTCTCTTTTGAAATGTAGTGTATATGTATAGATACAATGGTTTCTGTTCTAGGTTTTAAAACTATATTTTTATCATTAACGTTTATTTCTAATGTCTTTGTTTCGGCTCAGTTTATAAATTTAATAATAAAATTATAACAACACTAGTGGACTGTATTTTTGATTTTTAAAATTAATTTATTGTTAATAATTGATATTGAGATTATTATAAATTTGATTATACGACGCGCAATGATCGGCAATGTTTCCGACGCGTCGTTGAAACTGGACTGGTGACTTGTGCCTTATTATATGAAGGCGTTATTACCCGACCCATGGCTATATCACAAGTATTATCTGCACAACGATTGATAATATTTACTTAACATTTAACAGTCTTATTTGCTAAATTTATTATCGAATTATTTTCCGTTAGGAAACTATTACCTATTATACCGTTTCTCTTTATTGGAAAATTCTTACTAACTAAATTAAACTCTGTATATACGCTTTGCCCATGAAATATTAATGGTATTGTCACTTTCCCTAAAGTTTGTATTATTTGGTCATTTATTCCCTTAAGATATACTTTTTGTGTTTCGTCTATTGTTAATCCGTCGCATATAATATCATTTTTTATTACGTTCACTTCACTACCTGTATCGATAAGAAATTCTAACTCTTTAATTTTACAAGCAGGTGAAATGCATTTTACATGGTTAATACTATTTATTGTTGTGAGTACTGTTGGAAGGCAATCTCTGATGGATCCACGGTTATCGTTTGTATCGCACGCACCCCGTGTGTCGCGTGAGAGTTCGGCCCGTTTCCCGAGTTATTACGACGTTCGTCGTTTTGTTTTTTATAACATACCGCGATTGTATGCCCCGTCCAGGGACGGATTGGCCCACCGGGAAATTGGAAAATTCCCGGTGGTCCGCTGTTTACATTTATAATTCAATATTATAATATCCATAGATATTATAAGAATCTATTATTATTATTATAATTATCTAATATTTATGATAATATCATCAGGTTCGTCAGGACTTCAGGAGATTGAAAAATAAAAATGAACAATTCTTCGTAATCTAAAAATAGATTGGTTTTTCGTATTCTCCCGACTCCCGTACTCTTATCGCTGTTTGTCCGTGTGCACCACATAGACATCGCATACCACGAACTAATAATATTGTATAATATTAATAAATAAAAATATGACAATATTGTATACACCGACACTCCGTAGTCCGTACTCACAGTTGTCGCAGACCTCTTTCCAGTTTCCACAATAATATTGATACAGTACTATATAACTAGTGAATTAGTGACGACAAATATTTAAGTCTTATGTTTTTAATATACTGATATAGTAATATTTAATTAAATATGTCTAGTTCCGTTACTTCCGGAAAACAAAAGGGAGGCGCTGAAAAACGTCGCAAAAATAATAAAATATTATTATTAAACTCCAGTGATAAATGTTTAAAAATTAACGAAATGTTTTTAAAATCTAAATGTGCAAACAATATATCGTTAACAAGTACGAACAATGTTTCAGAAAATGTATTATTTGGTAAGTTTAACAAAATATACTTATAATTAATACACGATTATCAATGATCAAAAACTGTACTGCAGTAAACAGTTAAGTAGTTACTTACAATTTGATCATACAGTTTTGAATTTAAATACAATTTATGACTTAGTTACAATATTTTAGATTCTTAATGAAGAAGAAATTTATTTATTTTACTATAAAGTTTATTATGTGAAAGTTTTTTTTAAAACTAGGGTATGTTAAAAAAATGAACATAACTTATTAAATACAAAATAATGTAATATATATATTTATTTTTAAATATGTAATTGTTTTTGTTAGGTAATGTCAAAGAAACCAGTAAGACACTAGATCTCCTAGACCCTTCACCAGTTGGAAGTAGTCAGAATGAAACATTGAAAACCATTCCAGTATGTATTAATTTAATTAGTTGTGTGAATTGAAACAAGTTAATTATTAAAAACCAAACTTAAAGTTTGTCCTTGCTACCTATTTATTTGTATAAATTAATTAATATATTTTGCCATTTTGGTGTAGGAGCTTGAAGTAAATAGTTCATGTTTATCAAAACATGTGAGTACAGCCGTGGAAGATATTTTGCTATGTAAAGTGGATGATGGTATGTACAATTTTATTATTATATTATTTTAAGGGACAAAAAAATGTTTAGATTGTGTATTTGTGTCATCAAAATATGTGTTAATACTGTTAATAATTTATAATACTAATACTATAACTGTTTTATGAACTGTTTTTCATTAATTAATTTAATTGGTTATTATTTTAGATCTTTTCAAAAAACCAACAGTACTTGATATGGAACATTTTTTAAAAAGTCATCCACAATTACCAAAAATCAATTTATCAACTCCATTTAATTTTCAAAAAACATTTTATAGAAGTGATGGAGTACAGCGCATGTGGTTAACTTATAACAGTAATTCTAAACAGTTATTCTGTTACTTGTGTCTATCATTTTCCAATGAAATTAACTCATTTACAACAGGTATGAGTTCTTGGAAGTATGTTTATCAACGTATAAATGAACATGAAAGTAGCAAGATTCACAACCATTGTGTTGAAGCATATCTTTTATTTACACAAAATCGTGACATTAATACATTATTATTTTCTGTGCAAAAAGATAAAAGAAACGAAGAAGTTGCAAAAAATAGAGAGGTTTTTAAAAGAATAATAGATTGTGTATTATTTATTGGTAAACGTGGCTTGAGCTACAGAGGTAATAAGTTTGAAGCAGCTTATTCTTTAAATAGTTTGCATAATCATGGAAACTTTTTAGAGTTACTATTATTGTTAAGTAATTATGACCCGGTTATTAAAGATCATTTAGATACAGTTACTCAAAAAAGTATAAAAGCAAATAAAGCTGGTAGTAAAAGAAGAGGAAACTCTCTCACATTTATATCAAAAACTACAGTAGATTATGTAATTTCAGCAATATGTACTTTAATAAAAAAATCAATCAGCACAGATGTGAACAAAGCTCAAATGTATTCAGTTATGCTCGATACTACACAAGACATCACTGCTAAAGATCAATGTGCAATTGTTATCAGATATGTTGAGAACCATAGTGTACACGAACGGCTAATTTCATTGGTAAACTGCACAGATACAACGGGTCAAGGTATGTGTCAATTACTTCAGAATGTTTTAAAATCAAATGATATTAATGTAACAAATTGTGTGGCAAATGCCACAGACGGTGCAGCAAACATGCAGGGTGAATACAACGGTTTTAATGCATGGTTAAATAAAACAGCACCTAATCAAGTTCATGTGTGGTGTTACAGTCATGTTCTTAACTTGGTAATGTCCGATGCATCAAAATCACCTTTACCTGCTGCAACATTATTTACCTTATTGAATAGCTTAGCAACTTTTTTTAAAGAATCATATAAACGCATGGAATATTTTACTAAAAGATGTACAAGCAACCTACGTTTGCAATCAATTGGCGAAACTCGATGGTGGGGAAAAGAAATTGCTCTTAATAGAATATTTGGAAAAATGAATGATCCATCCAAAGATCTGTACATAGAAGTAATATTGGCATTGAGTGATATAATTAATAGTGATAATTCCAAACCAGACATTAAAGTTAAAGCTGATCATATGAGAACATCCCTTTTGAAGTATTCAACTATACTAACAGCATTTATTTATATTAGAATTTTTAGTATCACTGGTCCACTTTCTAAATATCTACAGACCAAAGATATGGATCTTTTAAAATCTCAAGAATTAGTTGACACAGCTTTAGAAAAACTTGTTAAAATTCAAAGAGATATGGATGGAGTTAAAATGAGTGGAGATGTTTTTGTTCAACAAATGAATTCTGAATTACACAAATTTAATTTGGATATAGTTGTTGAAGAACATTTTCCCAAAATCAGAAGTCGTAAACGCAAAATATTACCAGGAGAGTTGACGGAAGATTATATAATTAATGATCAACTTAAAAAATTTACTGTTGATGTTGACGCGGTCCCGCGTAATATTCCGTTTGAATTCAAACGGCCTTTACGCGGAAAACCGCGGAACGACTTCTTTATCCAACCGCCAGCGACGACGGACGACGCCGACGCACGATCAACGGCGTCGGAACGTCTCGACCGCCGATACCGCGAACCGGTCCGACGACCGGAGGCCAGTTTTTCACCATACACCGTACGCGGTCTAACAACCTCTGTTTTTCGACTCGCGTACTGTGAACTTTTGATTTTGACAATTGTGACTTTTATCACCGGATCTGTACCTGTGTTCCAGCTGTTGTTCATAATTTTAAACGCTGTTGTCATAGTTTTATACGCAAATAAACCGGCGAATACCGTTTTTTTATTAAACCTTACATCTTGTGTTATATATTTTTTGCTACCTTCAACACCCAATCATCCCATTCCACCTCCAGGTACGCATCAATGTGCATAATAAAATTCTTGATACTATTGTAGAAAGTATGAGAAGAAGGTTTCTTAAGCATAGAGACTTATATACTGATTTATCATGCCTTTCACCTACAAACTTCAAAGAAATCACTGAACAAGGACTA